CACCCGATGAATTGGTTTGGATCCATGTGACTGTCAAAGTCTGGTAAGTCAACTTTCACCCCAAAATCTTGGCTTTAATGTTTTATGCCAAATCTATGTGGCATCAATTGTTCTTCACTTTGAGGCTTCTTGGTAGAAATCGATGCACTTCCTTCTTTTGATTTGATGTGTTATTGTTGTGGGTGTGTGACCTCATTGGATTGTCTGCTCTCAAAGGCGACAATCATCTATTGTAGTTGGGGGATTTTCTTCTACATATCCATCATCGCAAGTTCCTAAAAACTCTCCTTGGAGGCATGATGTCATTTTCTCCCGATCAGGTTTCCGGCAAGCGTAGGATTGCAAATCAAGATTGGTCAGAGGCTTGGATTTTGGTGGTAGGTTTCGTGAAATTTTGGTGGAGGGTAGAATGTTGGATTTTGAAAATTTTAGGTTTAGGTTAAAATTTGTGGTAATTTCAGTATGATGAGAATTTTTTTTAGAATTTTGGATTTGGACAAGAAAGACGGAACCCTAAAATAATCTAGTTTCTTCGAGCTCTAATATCAGATGATAGCATTCTAGTGCTCTTAAAAAGTATTTAGGAGGCGGGTTGTGCAGGGAGATACTTGTGGAAGGGTACTAAAAGAAGGATAGGAGAATACGGGGGAGTTTGGAATGAGATAGGCTACAAAATTTGGTGTTGGACAACAAATGTGTGTTTGATGGCTTTCCTGACTGAAAGCAGAGAATCAAATAAGGAAATGGCTAGATATGAGCGACAAGGAGGATTCACCACCTATTCCTGAACAAGATCACCTACACATCTCTTGCTAAAAAAAAACCGACCACACTCCAAAGAGCATAAAATCGAGAATGTCTTCGAAAGAAAAACTCTTACTAGTCCTAAAACAACAAAATACACACATATATAGTTTTCTAACAGATATGAGCCTAGTTTAAATAAAGAAATAGGAAATAGAAAATAAGCTAGAAAAGACAAAAATTCTCTTTGAATTTGCCAATCAGATGATTTTTTTCTTGTTCAGCCCTCATCAACCTGTTTTCTATTCAAATCCATTGTAAAATCTTAAAAATCTCGCAAAATACTATATTGAGATGAGAATTAGTTCTGGCTCAGAATCTCGTCGTCATGGGATCAATTTCGTGATTGCGGAATCTCGGATGTCCTGGATGGCTTGAGAAACTCCTGCGTCATAAGATCTTTGAGGCATTGTTGTTTCCCAATTAAAGTATATTATTGACCTTCTCAGAAAAAATGGGATGAGTGGTTGTAAGTTTATAGGCATTCCAATTGATTCCAATAAAGTACTAAGAGATGGGAAGGAAGGTGATATTGTGAATATTGTTTGGTATTAGAAGTTTGTGGAAAGTTGATGTACTTGTCGCATACACGGCCATATATCACTTTTTTGTGTCTGGTACGTCAATTGATGCATTCGCTTTATGAGAAAAATCTTGAAGCAATTAATAGGATTCTCAGATACCTTAAAAGTACACCAAGCAAGGGTTTATTCTTTTATAAGACCACCCAACAAAACATAGATGCATGCATTAATGTAAATTGCGCAGGTTCAATTATTGATTAGAGATCGACATATGGATACTATAATTATGTTTGGGAAAATTTTGTTACATGACAAAGTAGAAAATTTAATGTGGTTGATAGGAGCAGTGCTGATAAAATTATGGCTAATGGAGTATGTGAAATGTTAAAAAAATTCTTGAAGTGTTGTAGATCTCGATTAAGATGCCAATGAATTTGTACTATGACAATAATGCCCCCATAAGCATTGTAGAAAATCCAATATAACATGGTCGCACAAAGCATGTGGAGATTGACAGATATTTCATAAAATAAAAGATTGATTTTGGGGTTGTTTGCATGCCTTTTATTTTGATTGCGAAACAAATAGTAGATATCTTCATTAAAGGATTTTTCAAGCCTAGTTTTGAGATTCTTGTAAGTTGGGCATGATAGATATCTATACTCCAACTTGAGGGAGGGTGTTGGATTTTTAAGAAATTGTAATTTTAGTATTTTCTATTTTATGTATTGTCTATTTTGAGAATTTTTATTGTTAGTACTTTTTGATTCCTATTCTAGCATAAGGATTTTGTGACTGATTTTGTTTCATTTCATAAAGTAAACAAAATTGAAATCCAAATAATCTTCACATAACTTATATACAAATTACTTAATAGAGACTGTAATCTGATTAATAATAGAGAAATTGGAAAATAATCAAAGAAAAAAATCTAGCTGGAATAGGGAAATATTGGAGTTGTGCACTCCTGTGATCGCGGAAGCCTAGAATTCCACAGGATAATAGAAGTCACATGATCAGAGTCGCGAAGTCACAATCTTGTGACAGGATGTTCCTGTGTCATTCTCCCTGTTTAATAGAAATTTCTTCTCTGGAAGCTTCAGAAATCGATCTAACGCCATCATAACAGAGTCATCGCCTTACTTGGTTTGAGGAAACCTTTCTCTAAAATTTATGCTCACATCCGTTCTAGGCAACTCCAAAACACTTATGTCCTTTCAAAACTTATCTTGATATAATAGATAATCACCATTCTTTTGCACAATTAGAGTTGAAGATGTATTTGGTCTAGTACTCTCATAAATTAAGCCTCTAGCCATTAAGTGTAATAGCTTTTTGCAATTTTTCATACTCAAATGGTCATATCCCATAAGGAAGCTAGTTAGCAAAAAATAAATTTTGGAATGAGAGATGTTGAATCTTTTTCGGTGGTAGCCAACCCAGAGGTAAACTGTCAGTTAAGATATCTGACAACTCTTTCAATAATTACTAATCTTTTTTTGGTATAGTCTCCTCGAATTCGCTGTATTCTAGGGCAACCAATATTAGTTTTGTTCTAGTCTCTCTCATGTGCATAACTTGAATCACTAGCATCTCTCCCTCTTTAGCTGAAAAATGGTACTTCATGTTGATGCCTTTATTCTATCACGTGTCATTGTTCATTTTCTCAACTGATCTCTGCTCCGTGAAATATATCATTTTTCTATCTAAGTGCCCAAATCGTGGCTTTAGAAGCACTTCTAAGCTGAGATAGATTTGGGAGTGCTATTGATGGGCTTCACCTTTGCTCCACTCTGGATTGGATTTTTATTGGACGGGTTGGCTTGGATGCTCCACTTGGTGTACTCCTGCGTGATCCTTAGGTTGAACTCTATCTATAAGGTGTGGCGGTCACTTGGTGACGTTATTATTTTTTCAACTTTAAAGCTAGGATTTATACATCAAGTAGGGATCAATATTGTTGCATCTGTATGACATTACCAATAGATGACCTCAGTCTTTTAAAATTCTTTGTTATTGTGTGCTTCTCTAGTACCACCAACTCACATAGCATGTGTTGATCAAATTTAGCTATGTGCTCCATAGAAAAATCTATAAGGTGTAAGTGATGGAGTTTGATGAACATATTTTATTGGTAATGTGAGGGAAAGTATATGTGTTGCATGTCTTTTCATCTTGGACCAGGTAATGATATTTTTCTCTTATATGGCGAAGGCACTTCAGATTCTCCCATTACAAGGAAGTGTTATTTCTGAGCTTAATGGCTGTTAGTTTGAACTTCTTGTCAGGCAAAACATCCTTATGCTCAAAGACCCGTTCAACTTGCTAGATTCACTTGGTGCATTCATTCGAATCTATGCGATCGTCAAAATTCGATAAATTCATCTTTAATCCAAGATCTTGGTTTTATATTTGATATTCTATGTGAAATCGTCGGATAATAGTTCTTCATCACCAAGAACTATTTGGTGGAAGGGATTCACTTATTCCTCTCTATTAGGCAAGTCACGTTTGTTGTGGCTATAAGTGACCCCTTCGAGTTGTTTACTCTCAAGACAACAAGTCTTTGTTACAGTTAAAGGATTTATCGCTTCATATCCTCTTTAGTAAGCTCATGAAATTCTCTTTGCAGATTTTTCCTGGGCATCATTGTGTCTTTTTCATCCAATGAAAGTTTTAATGAGAAAGAAAAATATGATTTAGGGTTTAGGGTTATGGTTAGGGCTAGGGCTAGGGCTAAATGGATGGTGTGGGGAAAATTGTTTTTGCTTGGAGTGTTAGTTTAGATTACTTGAAATTTTTGTTTGTGGCAAGAAGATAGAATCCTAAGAATCTAGCGCTTGTTGGACTCTGATATTATATGATACCATTCTTGGATTTCATGAAGGTTTTTAAGAAGCAGATTTTGTGGTTGTGGAATGACTGGCGAATGATAATATTCTAGTTTGACGACAGTCAAAAGGAAATCGGTGGTTGTCTTGGTTGAAAACAACAAAGAAAACTTCGAATCGATGAGGTTCAGGTAGTGTGGAGGTCCATCACTTGTTCCTGACAAGTTACATATCCACCATTTGTAAAAGGAAAGGGCACAACACTCCAAAGAGCAGAAAATAGAAAAAGTATCTCAAATTCATAAAATTAACAAAATTGAAATCCAAGCAACCACTACACAATACATATAAAAGTTACCTAATAAAAAATAACCTAACGAGTACTAGAAAAATATTAAACTAATAATAATAAGAATATAAACTGGCTGAAATAGAGAAATATCAGAGGCATGCCCTCCTGTGATGGTGGAAGCTTTCAATTCCATGGAATGAGATCCGTTGCGATCTGTCGCAAAAGTCGTAATTTTGTGACGGGACGCTCCCTTGTCAAGAACCTTTGTAAATGGGTTCAGATTTTGTTTGACGTCTCAAACAATGTTAATGCCTAATATTTCTTGTTTGTCTTATTATTTTTATTGAGATTTGTTTACTGTAACTTCTTAAATTTATATCCATTTTTTTTTTCTGAAAACTATTGGGTAGTTCAACAGTATAAATCTAGTTGTAATTAGAGAGCCTTCAGTAAATTTGCAGTCACATGTAATTTTAATTGAACTTGAACTTTATTACAAATCAATTTTTTTATATAGTCAAGGTTTTAATTTTCTGTGTTGTATTTCAGGATGAATTGAGGGAAACTCAAGATCACGATCTCAGTCCAACTATTTCACATATTTTTAATTGCTTGTTTGGGCATGTATCTATGGAAGCAAAGAGTAGCGCTAGTAGTCCACAGTTAAAAGCTCAAAAGAAGGTGAATGAACCCTCTTTTTTGGTTGTTGATTTTAAAAATGTTGTTTTTAATCTATTAAAGTTTTTTCTGCCTATTTTTGGTGTTGCTAGGAGTACATGTAACTGGAAAATAGGTTTATGTCTATTTGCTTATGATGAATCTGATACTTTATTAATGCGAGTGTACGCATGCTAAAGGCACACATGATTATGTTGGGTTGTGAAAGTTTTCATGCAAATGGATAATAAATTATATTTGCAATATGATGAAAATAATTGTAGATTTTAACAACTAAAAAATCTTGTTTTCATCTCTTATTTATAAAATATTCTAGGGATTGTAATTCTTTTCTTTTTAATAGATGGGTCTTCTATCGAATAACTTAAAACATGTTATTTTTATTCTGACATGATATCATGGTAAGGCTAGCTTGAACTCTGGGTACTAGCTCCTTTCATTTCTGTAACACGCCTTTTACTATGATCTTACTGTGCATCTCTTAATGCTTCTGCATTCACAAGCGCACAAGTGGTCTTGTGAGGCTTATGTACTTTCAAGGCCACAAGATGTATTGATAGCATTTAAAATCTAGTGAAGTTCACATAATATATGCACTATAGGCTAAATGATACATAACTATTATAGTACTTCATCTAAGAAGAGCCATGAACAAATTATTGCATCAAACATTTATAACAATAATCATCACCCAAAGTGCAAGCAACATATCGACCTATTGTTTCCTTGGCACAACTATTAACCTCAAATCCACAAAATCAATAGGAAAGAGTTTGTATGAACAAACTTAGTAGTTGGAACCTATTTGGTAGGTAAAAACGATAAGGAATATGTCATTTAATTAATTCATTTAAATATAATGACATCATGAAAGTTTTGTATGACAGTTGCTTTAGCTATAACCTGATTTAAATAAATGTATTGTAACCAAAATTTTAGAAAATAAAATAATGGAGAGACTTCTTAAGAATTCGTTTTATAGTATAGGCATTATAAAATGGGGGATTGAATCTTCAAGCTGCATTATAAAATGGGAGATTTACTTACACAACACTCAAAGCATTTAATATTACATATCTTACACCCAAAACTTTCATATATACATTTAAAGCATCTAAAATATTAAAATAAACAGGAAAATAACAAATTCCGTTAGAAGGATTTAGCCCTGTTAAAATTCACCTTCCCGTCGAATGCGTGGATGAATCGTCGTCCTTGTCATCTCGGAGATCGAGTGAGCCAAGCGCTATATCTTGGAGCTTGAAAACAGTAGCATCTCTCCACACTTGGCTTCAGAAACCAACTTTCGTGATACTTCTTTCAAATAGAAAGACTTCACTGCAAAATCAGAGAGGAAACCTCCTCTGTAAAATCTGAGAGGAAGCTGAAGAAGAGATTGTCAAGGGCTATTAATTTTGGCACAGTGAAGGAAGGGATTTTAGAGGTAGATGATGCAGGAAGCTTTCACGGTGGTTGTCGAGTGGCGAGATCCTATACTTATCGGAGTTTTGTGATTCGTTTAACTCAGTAACGGAGTGTTTTAAATGTGAATATGAGAGTTTGGGTGTGAGATATGTAATATTAGATGTTTTGAGTGTTATGCATGTAAATCCCCCTATACAGATAAAGATAAAAAAAACGAGGGAAAAGAGTAAGGTACCAGTGAACCTATAGAAAAGCACACGGATTATAATCGAGGATGTAGAGAAATTGATCCAACAATACATGTTGATCCATGCTTAAGTTTTATGCTATGATAGGAGAGTGAGTGAGCCCCATGACAAAGAAAAATTCAGCACTCACCTTCAAACTAAATGATAGAGACCTATAATTCTAAGTTTTTTTATGATATTTTTGCATGTTGTGCTACAGAGTTTTTTGGTGAATAAGTCGGCTATTTGATTTTTTGTAGGCACATATAGAGTGCAATCAGATCACTTTCTTCTTTTTTTTTTTACATGTTATGATCATGTTGCATTGGATCTTGTGCAATACCGATGGCTGATATGCTTGGGTAATGTTAATACAAAAGAATTGTGTGGAAGGTATGTAAATTTGCAACACCAGCTTCATGTTGCTAAAATTAGGAAAGCCATAAGAGACAAGAGCCTGAAGATGTCTTTCTCTTGGATATGTTTTTTATGCTTTAGGGATAAACTTCATTGCAGTATTTCATTCTATTTACCCCCCTTTTGATCCGCTAAGTTTAATATTTTTGGGTGCTATTTGTTCTTCCCTCTGATTTTTTTTTTTCATGACAGATTTGTTTAATGCTGACCATGTGTATAATTTTTTTTTTTCCCAGCATAAACTAGTACTAAGAAAAGTTGTTTTTTAACGTGTTCACATATCACAATTTTCTTGTAATCCAGGATCAAGCACACCATCACTCATCCAAAAAATCTGGTAAGGGGCAAATGAAATGGAACCATGGCCCATTTTCTAGAAAAGTTCATTCATCACAGACACATTTACACTCTGAAGGAGTATGGTCTTCCATTCAGGAATTTGCAAAATTTAAATATCAGGTATCAGATAACTTGACGTTATTTGAAGTAGTATTAAAGCGTTTATTTATTGCTTAGGTATTTCTCCTTTAATGCAGTTTACTTTTTATTTTTACTTTTGTTTTTTCTTTTCTGCAGTTTGAATTGCCAGATGATGCAAGATTACGTGTTAAGAAGATTTCAGTGATCCGAAATTTGTGTCAAAAGGTATCAATATTTCCTGAGATCAAATGTTTCATTACAATCATACTTAATTTTTTTTTTTTACTTTTTATGGATATCAATTATGCTTGATTGATTTGACTTGCTATGGCAAACCTTTTTTCCGTTCGTCTGTGTATTTTTGAAACGGACATCTGTAGTTTTTCTTGTGCTTCAATTTTTGTTCTATAATTTGTTTATATAGTTCTACAGAAATGGCTGGAATAAAACTAGTTGCTGCTTCTACTGCTTCATTTAATTCTTCCACCTAGTGAAATGCTGGTTTCAATTATCTTTGAATGCAATGGTTAGGTTGCACTTAACTATCACTTGACATCACAAATTTGATTCATGGAGAAAGCCTCTTTCCTAATGCTAAGAATTATGACTAATTCATTTAGTTTACTTTGAAGCCCTATAATTAATACTCTAGTTGAGGCAGCTTAGGGGGAGCATTTTTGACTTAATTTTAATCAAATGGAAACGGATTGAATGATTGAATGGAAATGGATCAATGTCCTAAAACTTCTATCATGCCAGAAACCATTTTTCAATTTACGCCTCTGTATAAACTATTTATTTCTTACATTATTTTATTTTAACAGATAGGAATAACAATTGCTGCACGAAGATATGATCTCAACTCCGATTCGCCCTTTCAGACTTTAGATATCCTTAATCTCCTACCTGTTATCAAGCATTCTGTTCCATTGTGTTTAGAGGCTAAGAATCTGATAGAAATAGGAAAAGCTCGGTTGTCTGAGGTAAAAACAACAGAACTCACTTTCATTACAGCATATATATATATATATATATAT